CAGAGCTGGGTGCGCCCATGGCAGATGACGTTTACTCTGGACAGAGACTCCCTTCTAGCGGTTTGGCATCCACTTTCTTATCTTCTTCCTCTAATTTCATTTTACAGTCTTCTGAAGTTTAAGTTCTCTTAAGTTTTCGTAACCAGAGCCAAAGGCAGCGGCATGAGGGTTTGGGAGGGCCAGAGATGGGGGCACCGCCCTGTACTCGCCAGACTCTTTGTAGGCATCACCTGCCCACTGGGCCTACAGGGGACGCACCCAGCCCAGGAGAGCTTAAATGGCTCCACGTCTGGCCAGCAATACTGTCAGGAAGGAGTACACCTGGCCTGGACAACCTCGGGGAACGCTGGAGTGGCGGGCACACGTGTACTTACCGTCGCGTGGTCTGGGTTGTCAGTGAATTGTAGCACTTTTCTCCATAACCCAGTACAAAGATTGCTTAATGAATGGCAACAGCTCTCCCAGTTTCGGTTAAAGAATCGTGCTTCCTTTGACCAAGTGTGCACTTCGTGCGACCCTCTTCTACATCGGGTAAATTTAAAATCTGTTTAATTTCCATGATTATCTTTTTACCCAGAGCTAGGGTTTCTCATATGTGAAATAGTTCTCAGGCATATTCCAAGGTATTAAAAAAAAACACTGCAGTCTTCAAACCCTAGAGGGAAGACCGCTTTCACCTGTACATTTGGAGGCTAGCGGGCCTCAGTTATGACAGTTTTAAGACCCATGATCCAGGATGAATCTTTTTCTGCGAGCCTTCCCACCAGCGGTGGGCCTCTAGCCGCCGCCCCAAACCACGTAAATGTGTCTAGGATGACAGCGAGGCCCCTTTTAGGCACTAGAGTCAGAGTTAAAGGTGTGGGGCCAAATGGTGTGGGTTTATACGTAGCAATCTTGTCTTAAAGCCCAGAACATAGCTGCTGGGGTGTGTGGGGGGTGGGGGGTGGGGGCGGTGCCTAGCTGGTTTTCGAACTTGAGTTGGGCTCCAGTACAGAATGGGGGTGAGGGGGAAAACATGGAGGGTATGGCTAAGTTGGATACTCACGTTGGGCGAGGACTAGTTCCCCTGCTGGACGGATAACTTGACGGCTGGCTAATCTTTCTGGTTCCTTCACCAGGCCACATATCGGCTTGTGGCGCTTCTTTCTTGGGCTGTTCTACTGGGTATCTCCAGGCTGCTGGGCTTGGGCAATTGTGGAGGATCTGGTCAAGAAGCGGAACTTGCCACGTGGGTGGGGCCTTCAAATTGTGGCTTGTGTGCGCTCAAGTTATCAAACTCTCTTTCCCCTTCCACTCATTGGTCTGGGAAGCTGGGAACCTGAGCCTCCAGTGGTGTGGGTAGAGACAGTCTCCACCTGCTTGTGCTTTTTTGGGAGTCTCTGGGAAAACCAAGAGGAACAGAAGAGTATGGAGCCAACCCTGGGTCCCTTCAAAGACTGTTCTCAGCTGGGAGCCAGCCCTTCACTCCAGGTGCTGCCAGAGACTGGAGTCTACATTCTGAAATTCCCTGAATTCTGAAATTCCCTGAATTCTTAGGAAGAGTACATAGTTTAGGTCCCACAGAGTGACCTAAGGGACCCTGGTGGTGCTTTGGGTTAAAGCATTGGGTTGCCTAACACAAGGTATGTGTTTCAAACCCACCAGCTACTCTAAGAAGAGACTCTCTACTCCCATAAATATTTATAGTACGGAAAACCCCACCCCGTACAGGTTCTCTCTGAACTGGAATTGATTGCATGCCTGTGGATTTGGATAACAATGACCTACAGTGTGACCCCACCCCGTACAGGTTCTCTCTGAACTGGAATTGATTGCATGCCTGTGGATTTGGATAACAATGACCTACAGTGTGGAGCTTGCATCAGTGCTGGACAATCTGCATTTTAATTTGATCGTGTTGTGGCACTTCCTGGCTGAGAGAAGCACATTTCTAGCAGTGAAACAATTCATTTAAAAAATAAGAACACTTCAAGGCCTTGGAATGATTCTGACTCCCAGTAACCCTATAGGGCAGAGGACATATACTTACGTTTAACTGGAATTTGTAGTTATGCGAATATATACTTTTTACCTTTTTAAAATTGTGAATTACGTACAGGATTCCAGAGGAGATCATACTTTCACATTAAAAAATTCCTAGGCAATTCTTATTCAACTCACCTATTGCAATCCCCTCAGTGTACCATCATTTATCCTACTTCCTGTTTTCTGTTTCCTCCTTTCCTAACCCTCTAAACAGTGCCCTTTGATAAATGCTACTCTTTTGATCTTAAATGGTTGATGATTAATGTGGAAGTGTGTTCAGTTCCAGACCTGAAAGGTCTTAGGAGTCTCAACAATCTATCTGACCAGTAAGTCTGGTCTCTTTCTAAAAATGCAAGTTCTGTTGCATTTTTCTCCCATTCTACACCGTACCTTCCAATGTGATTCCTTTAAAAGCGGTTGGTAGTGGTATGGGACACCATTGAGCTCTTCTGGTCTCAGGTTTCGGGGGTCGTTATCTGGGTGGTTCACTAGTCCATTGGACTAATTTTTCCCAGGTGTCTTCATTTTCAGCATCCTTCTTTCTTCCTCACAGGGAGAGGCCAGTGGTTGCACCTTAGATGTAGAGCATTGTCTTTGTAGGCTATATTATGCCAATTGGCCTTGGTGTTTCCATAGACTGTGGCTTTGATTCCTCAGGCCCAGCAACTCATTCCCTCAATGTCTGATTATGTTTAAGAAATTTTCTTAATGAAAAATACTTCTTTCGTTTCCCATTCTATTCTCAAATTTCAACGTAAGATGGGAAGTGAGAGGGTAACATTTGGATCCCAGTGTGGGGGCATCCAATGTACAGGAGTGGACTTGGGGACCTGGTGGGAAGAGAGCTTGGGGGTTGGCTGGCAGAGAGACTGGCCCCAAGGCTGCAGGCACACTGGGAAAACCCAAGCTGCATATTATTTTAGGGTACAAAAGAGACCTTAAATCTCAAATATAATTTAAGGAGAACATTTATTGAGTCTCATACAGGACAAAGGCAAGACAAAGACTTATCACCTGGATGAAGTAGAACGTTAGCATGAAGTCATAATGAGATCCCTCATCCAGGTGATGTCTTATTGTTCTTGTCCTTGTCCTGAGGCTTAAATAGTCTCCTTAAATTATACTTGAGATCTGGGTCTCTTTTGCACCTAAAACAAGTAGCATAGTCAGGAACAAGATTCCAAAGCTGTCTTTGCTGGCTGGATCCCTTGAGGGTTGAGGAAACTGGTACCAGAGAAAGAGGGACTTTGCCCCACATTCCCTTGGAGACTTTGCAAAGGAAAGCACTATGGAATTTTTGGGGCTTTCAGAAAGTTCATTATTAAGTCTTGCAATGTGTTTTCTCAGCTGTGAATTGTTAAGTTCACTATTTTTTTCTCTCCTGTTTGTGAAAGCTATATAACAATAATGCACCGTGTCACTCACTGTCTGTTCTTCCCTGTCTTGTTTTTTGTGTGTGTGTGTGCGTGTTTGTAGTGGTCGCACTCAGCAGTAGGGGGATAGACAGTTCTATTTTGACACATTACTTCTTAGTAAAATAGAATGCCTCTTTACTAATACAGTAGAAACTGGTATTTCATTAACAAGGATCCTTTAGAATAGTGGTTCTCAACCTTCTTAGTGCTGTGACCCTTTAATACAGTTCCTCATGTTGTGGTGACCCCCCAACCATAAAATTATTTTCGTTGTTACTTCCTAATGTAATTTTGCTACTGTTATGAATTGGGCAACCCCTGTGAAAGGGTTGTTCGATCCCCAAAGGGGTCGCGACAAGAATAGGAGAACATACGGGCCATGACTGTATAAGGCCAACACAAATATTAATATCAGCTAATATCACATGCTTCAACAAAGAGAAGCAATTCCAGCCATCACGTTAGGTATGAGTTAATTAAATGTTTGAACAAATGTAGTAGGCTAATTTTTTAAAGTTGAAAATTTTGTATGGCCTTTGAATGATGTTATAAATTCCAAATGGCCCTTAGCAGGAAAGAAAGTTGACCATCCCTACTTTAGAATACCACTGGCTACTTTTTTTTTTTTTTTATATATAAGAGCAAGTTTTATATAAAGGGTAAGTGTACATTAAGAAAGCATCCCAACCCAGTGCTGTCCAAGCCCTTAAGGCCAACATTAGCCCATATGTCCAACACCAATCTACAAAGTCCTCCTCATCCTCACAAAACACACGCAATGATGCCGACTGCCAGAGAATAGCCAAATCTGTGAGCGTGCAAGCATCTCAGCACTGGCAGGAGTCTCCGTGTGGTTGCACCAGCACCCAGGGCTGCATCAGGGTAGGTTCCTGTGGCTTCTCCTCAGGGATGCCTCGCAGGAAGAGAGCCTTGCCAGCTGAAGCAGGGAACTGGCTAAAGCAGCTGCACCGGTCCATTTGTGAGGACTTTGGTTTT